CCCCTCTATTTCAAGACGTTCATGTTCCTTCCAAATTCTCAAGCCTGAAAGCTGCTATAGCACCCGTAACTCCCTAATCAAAGATCTCCCCAAGTGTTGGTGCTGAAGAAGGTGGGACCCAAAGGTTGGTGTTGTAGAGGAGGTGGCTAAGGAGGTTTCTATCCCTCAAGATGTTGGTGCTGCCTCTACTTCTCCCCTCAAAGGTGATTCAGACAAGACTATGAACCCAACCTTTGAGATTCCTCCTTGTAATGAAAGTTGAAGTAATCCTTGAGACAATTTTAATTTTTTATATTTTGTTTTTTTCTTTTTGTTTTGTTTTGTTTTGTTTTGTTTTGTTTTGTTTTTTTTTTTTTTGCTACACTGGAGCTCAGTCTTCCTAACGAGTTGCCCCCTATGATCGCTAAGTTAATTTTTTCTTTTTTGATGATGTTTGTGAGGCCAGTTGTGCCTTTGTTTAATGATAATATTTTCTCTTGATTTTGCAATTTGATACTTTTTTTATTTTAAATCTGAGTATTGTCTGTACTGTTTGCCCCCAGTCGAGCACTATTGGGGCCATCAAGCCAAATAGTTGCTCGATCTGGTGATATGATATACTGCATAGCTATGCTTGTATTGTAATTGAAGGAGAGTGTCTTATTTAGGTCCAGGTTGGTTCTAAAAAAAAATTGTGTGCCACCACCAGGAGTTAAGAAAGACTTGCACTGCAGATCTTGCTCTTTGAGAGAATTGCTTAAGTCTGTTCCAATTTTGATTGCATGAGAGCACTTGAATGTAACAAAGTCATAAAGGAGTGTCTTACTTAAGTCCATGTTGATTTTGAAAAAACAATTGTTTGCCCCCACCTGGAGCTGAGTAAGGCCTGTGCTGAAAGTTTGCTCTTGAAAGAATTATTCAAGTCTGTTCCAATTCTATTTGTATGAAGCAGAACTGAAGTGTTGAATTTGAATGTAGTTATACTTAAGCGAAAGTCATTTGTGACTTTGAAAATCCTATGATTTTATGAAAAGAAATAATCATGTTTAAAAAATTCATTAATGTTGTTTCCACCAAGCAATTCCACTTGGCTAAGTTCCATTTGGTTGCCAAACATAATTCCACCAACAATTCCATTTGGCATGTTTGAGTGCAAACCAAAGATAAATGCATTCGGTCGATCCGAAGTTAATTTCGTTCTGTCGTCTCGCAGCTAATTCATTAGTGATGTTTTCACCAAGCAATTCCACTTGCCTCAGTTCCATTTGGTTGCCAAATATAATTCCACCAAGCAATTCTACTATTTGAGTGCAAGCCAAACATAAATGTGTTCAGCGTTCCGAAGCTAATTCCGTTCAATTAAAACCAAAGCTAATTCCGAATGTCATTCCTTGACTTTGGTAAAAATTCGTTCATTCCCAATGAAGTTTATTTCGAGTGTTATTGCTAACTCTGCCTTAGTCCAAACCATTTTTAGTTTGAACTACGCTCCCAGAATTTGGATCTTAAAAGGTTGTGTTGGTTATCAACCGGTTCTGGCCTTAAGGCTGTACAGGTGCTAGAAACAAAAGTTCCAGGAAGCAGAGATTTTTTCCATTAATCAAAAGAGAAATGTCTTTACACTTTGATAGAAATTTAGGAAGATAGATTACTAATAGTACTTCTTGAGATTTTCTATATTCCAGGGCCGAGGTATGGCTTTGCCCTTGAGATCTTCCAGATAGTATGCTCCATTTTCGGCAACGACTATAACCTTGTAAGGCCCTTCCCAATTGGGACCTAACTTCCTTTTGATAGGCACCCTTTTGTGGTCCATAACTTTTCTCAGAACCAATTCACTAGGTGTGAACTGTGTTGGGAGGACTTTCTTGTTGAAACTCTTGATGAGTTACTGCTGATAAGCAGCAAGTCTAATCAGTGATGCTTCTCTTCGTCCTTCTGCCATGTCCAGTGCTCGAGTGATAGCTTCTTCGTTACTTGCATTTTCAAATAGTTCTGACCATATGGTTGGGAGACCAACTTCTAATGGAATAACAACCTTCATTCCGTAGGTTAGGGAATAAGGAGTCTCCCAGGTTGAGCGCCATGCCATCATCCAGTAGGCCCACAACACATGGGGTAACTCTTCAACTCATTTTCTCTTTTGGACTTTCAAGCTGCTTCTTCACTCCATTAATGATGGTCTTATTTGATGACTCTACCTGTCCATTACTCTGTGGGTAGCTTGGAAATGAGTTCTGATATTCGATCCTGAGATTAGCACAGAACTTCCTAAAAATTTTCCCATCAAACTACGTTCTATTATATGCAATTAGTACCCTTGGAATGTCGAAACGGACCACGACATTCTTCATGACGAACCACTTTGTGTATGCTTTCTTCATACTTGCCAGCGTTTCCACTTTCACCCTGTTCATGAAATAGTTGATTGCAGCGACAAAGAACCTCATGTTCCTAGTCCCCCACGCCAGAGGTCCAATGATGTCCAAGCCTCACTGAGCAAAAGGCAAGGACTGGTGAGTGAAGTGAGAGCTTTGGTTGGCTGATGAATTAGAGGAGCGAACCTCTGGCATTTGTCACATTTTTTAACGTATTGGTAGACAACTAGCTGAGAATCATTGAAAACCAGGAGCTCATCTGCACTGAAGTGCTCAACACTACACAAACCAACCAGTAGTGCTTCGTATTCCACCATGTTGTTAGAGGCTTTCCATCTAAGCTTCAGAGCTTGTTTTGAGATGAATCCCTTTGAAAAGATCAATACTACCCCTGCCCTCGAGCCTTGGTTATTGGATGATCCATTAACATAGAGTTTCCAAATGTCTCCAATGAAGAGTTTTCATGCTTCTAAAGCACTTTGTTTTCCTAACTCGATGGTTCATGGCACCAGTACCGAGCTAGCGTTTGAATGTACGGTGCTCGGGGTGAGGGTGAATTCGATTACAAAATTTGCCAAGACATGAGTCTTGATTGTTGTTATGGGCTAGTATCAAATGTCAAACTCACCAAGCTCAACTGTCCATTTCCCCGTTTGACTCGAGAAATTGGCTCGGCCGAGGACAGATCTGAGCAGGAACTCGAAAGGACATTGATAGTATGGCCTTAGAAGTAGTGTTGTAGCTTCCTTGATGCAATAAGTAGAGCGTAAGACAATTTCAGCAATGATAGGTATTGTGTCTCGACGTCCAGGAGAGTTTTGTTGATGTAGTACACTGGCCTCTGTTCTTTTTCTACTTCGCGAATTAGTACCGCGCTTACAGCATGGTCTGAAACTGCCAAATACATGTATAGTTCTTCCCTTGGTTCCAAATTGACAAGGAGAGGTGGCGTATTGAGGTACTTTTTGAGGTTCTGCAATGCCTCGGTGCACTCGAGCCCCCATTCGAACGTAGCCTTTTTCCTCAAGAGTTGAAAAAAAGGCTTTATTCAGTCTAACAACCTGCTGATTAACCGGTTCAACGCTGCTGCCATTCCAGCCAATTTCTGAAGTTTCTTGGCCTTCTTCAGTATTTCTATCTCTTCTATTGCTTTAATTTGATCCAGGTTTGCTTCGATTCCTCTGCGAGTAACCATGTAACCCAAGAACTTCTTTGTTCCTACCTCGAAAGTGCATTTCAAGGCATTGAGGCAAAGTTAATGGGTTTTCAAGATGTTGAAAACTTCCTTTAGATTGGCAATGTGGTTTGTTACGAGCCAACGTTTGACCACCATGTCATATATATATGCTTTCATAGTCCGTCCGAATTGATCCTTGAATATTCACGTCACCATTCCTTGGTAAGTTGCTACGACATTTTTAAAGTCAAACAACATTACCTTATAACAGTAGGTGCCTCTGGGAGTGAAAAACGTTGTTTTCTCTTGGTCTGGGCCAAATAGATGTATCTGGTGGGAACCACCGTAGGCATCCAAGAAACTTATTCGCTCATGTTCGGCTCAGTAAAGGAAAACTGTCTTTCAGACAAGCTTTGTTGAGGCAGGTAAAATCCACACAAACTCTCCAATTGCCATTCTTATTCTTCACTACAACTATATTAGACAACCATTGCTGCTAGGAGCTTATCCACCTCCGCAATCACGGTTCAGTATGCTCAACTGAGGATCTTCTGCTCTTTTGCACGATGGGCCGAGTTGAAGGATTGACATTGAGTTTGTGGTCAACAAATTCAAGATCCAGGCCATGAGTGTCGTAGGCCAACCATGCGAATACTTCTATATTTTTCCTTAACAAATCCAGCAACTGAAGTTTCTCATCAGTGCCAAGCGAGGTACCGATAAGAAAGTATTTCTCAAGGTTGCCTTCTTCCACCAAAACTTTTTCCAATTCTTTCGTCATCTTTTCAGCTGGAGTTCTCCAATATCTTCTAGTATAGGCTAATCTACTAACTAGACTGTCTAGACCTGATTACAGAGCTATTTGATATTCATGGTAGCCATGAAACAATGCTTTGCTGCAACTTGGTCCCCCTTAATCTACTCTACTAAGTGCTCTGTCAGGAAGCAGATGAACTGGTGATAGGTCAAAGGGACTACTTCCATCTGATGAATCCACGGTCGACCAAGGATGACGTTGTAAAAGGATGGAGTGTTCACAACCAAGAATTCTATTTGAAGAGTCCTTGTCCCAGTTACGACAGGCAATGTTATTCTACCAAGTGGCCATTCGGACTGGGAATTGAAGCCGGCCAGTGGTGCAGTTGTTGAGCTGAGATTCTGCTCAGTAAGACCGAGATTCTTGAACAAATCATAATACAGGATGTCTGCAGCACTACCTTGATCCACTAGAACTCATTTCACATCAAATTGTTTTCCAATCCCAACAGTAATCAGTGTGTGGATATTGAATTTCTTCTAAGTCTTTCCTAGTAAAAGAAACGTTACATAAAGGAGATTTAGGTTATGCTCTAACCTTTTTTGGCACTGGTCTGATCGACATCACTTGCTGAAACTGTGCGACCTTTGAAATTTCTCCTCGAAGTACTTCCTCTCGCTCTAGACTGGTCGTGCCATGGGTCACATTGATGACCAGTCAAGAAGGTTGCTTTGCATTCTGCTGTGGCGGTGGGTTCCCTTGTTCATGGTTTTCTCTAGATCAACGTGCTTCTGGAGGTGCCCAACAGCTACCAAATCCTCCAAATGCTGCTTCAACGCTCTGCAGTCCTGAGTCATATGCCCCCTATCCTAGTGATAAGTATACCTTAGCTTCTGGTTGCACTGAGCTGGATATCCTAACATCTTCGGTGCCCAAACAAAGTATGGTTCACTCTTGATTTTCTCCATGAGGTGGTAAATGGGTTCTTTGAACACTGTAATGATTGCTTCGTAGGACTTGGATTTGTTTACCTCATTTACTGCAACTTCACGGGGTTTTTTTCTATCTGCTCTTTGTTGATCCCCGCGGTTCGGCTGTTCGGCCGACGTTACTTCAATAAGAATCTGATCATCGTCAAGATGAGCGTACTGCTGAATCCTGGCTCGCAAATCCTTTAGGGTGGTGGTTAGGCGCTTAGTAAGCGACTATCTCAACTTGCTTTCTGGATGCAAATCATGCTTGAAAAACATCACTACCATCTGCTCGCTGCAAACGTTCTCTTCCAATTCGTTGTACTCTTCCCAATATCTCCTTGCATAGTTACATAGCGTCTTCTTCTTTTCCTTCCGGAGGCTAAACAAGGTGTCCAGTTCCTTTGGGATTTTGGTGTTAGAAATGAATCTAGCCAAAAATTCTTCCGAGAGTTGTTTCCAGTCATAGATCGATCTAGTAGGGAGATGATTGAACCATTGGAGTCTGGACTCTCCCAAGCTGGATGGAAAGACCTTGCACATCAGTGCATCATTTTGGTTCCACAGAGACATCATTTGCCAATAGTGGTTGATATGTGTGAGTGGATCTGACTTCCCATCATACGGTGTGAACGTCAACGGAGTAAACTTCTTAGGGGGTTCCAAAGTTTCAATCTCTAAAAAGAAAGGAGAAGAGAAGAGATGATCCAGTGCTCAGTGCTCCCTCTGATGAACAATACGATTGAGATATTGCGCCTCTTGTTCCCGCCGTTGCTCATTTTCTTTATTTTCGATCAACCGAGGTACGGAGATCCTGAGGAAGAATAGGGTACTTAGTCTACTGGCTGACCATTTTTTGCTTTTTAGCCCTCTTTTGGAGTGAACCACAGGTGTGGCTGCTCGCCCAGAATTGGCTGATTTCACTACCTAGAACCATTTCCAGGGACTTCTTTCACTGGTGGTTCCAGGGATGGACACTACAACAAAAATACTCTTTAGAGACAAAAATTAATGACGAAATTTTTTTTTGTCACGAAATATGTATATTTTAATGACGAAAATCATATTTCATCTCCAAATGTATCATTTTTAGAGACAAAAATAAAATTTCGTCACCAATCTAAATAACAATAAAAAAAATAGGTGACGAAATTATATTTCGTCATTATTTATATTTTTTGTGTCACCAAATATTTTCCCGCTAATATTTTCGGAGGGCGCCAAAATTAATAGACTTTTGGTGACGAAAAAATTTGTCACCAATTATAAAATTATTAATGACAAATATATTTTTGTCACCAATAATTTGGTGATATTTTAATATCATTTAGTGACAAAATTATTTTTGTGGCTAATATTTTTATCTTTGGTGAAGAAATAATTTTGTCACCAAAATATAATTTAGTCACTAAATATTTTAAGGAGAAATAAAATTTTTTAATAATTTTTAATTTTGAAATATATTTATATAATTTTACAAAGTATATGAATAATTTTTAATTTTAAAATATATTTAAAAAGAATAGAAAGCTTTTTCTGGGTAAGTAAAAAAATAATAATAACAAAATAGAAAGTTGAACTAAAACCAAACAGGGACCTTGATTTTTACCTTCCCACCTAATTTCCCCCGTGTTTTTGCTGCTAGGTAAAACCCCCATTCTCTTCCACCAAGGATCTAAATTTTCCTAAAGTTTCCTAGAGTGCTACATTGTGTGGTTGAGATTTACTGGCAAGTCACATCAGAAAAATTGATATGATTTGCCAGTAAATCTCAACCACACAATGTAACACTCTAAGAAACTTTAAAGAAAAATCACTCTAGAGGATCCTTGCTCATTCTCTTCACCTTGCACATCCATTTTCTCACGATTGGAAGTTCTCTCCCTCTCACAATCACACGTCGGTGTAGACATTTGTTGACCGTCGGGTTTTCGCCATTTACCGTTACTGTGCTACACCATCGCCTCTTGATTCTGGCTCGGTAGGTTCATCTCCTCTTTGCTCTGTATTCTACTTCTCTCTCTCTCTCAATTTGTTATTTGAATCTCTGTTCTATTTGCTTTGTATTTCCTTTGTTTCAGTTATTTGTTTCTTTGTCAAGGGTTCATAACATAACCTGCAATTCTATCTGCTTTCTATTGAGTTTTGAACTAGAGAAGAACCATTATATCTCTAGCTTCTAGTGGATTGCTAGGGTTTTTTAAAGATTTTTTTTCTTGCTTATTTGATGCTATTTCTTATTAGATTGCACTGCAGGAACAATGTTTCTGATTGAATTGATAAGATTGATTTTTTTCAATTCATATTATTATTCTTTGATGCTATTTTTTTCCTGCTTTGTATTTCTTATTTTTTTTTCTTCTTTTTTTTTTTCTGAACTTTATTCTTTTCTGAACTTTATTCTTTTTATTTTTTTCAATATGTATCACCAACCGAATCTACAACCCTCAATTTTTTTAAAGAATGACTCTGTTCCCACTAAAACAAGCTAAAAGGGTCACCCAGTACGCTTCATTTTATGGAATTTAAGCCTCCCACCCACATTCAACTGGTGTGCTTCTCTCCACTTTGTTTAGATTCAATGTTGACTTTGAATTTTGTGGGAGAAGTTGTGGGCCTCCACAACAATGGACTCCACTGTGATCCTTACAACTTCCCTCTCTAAATCTGAACTAGACATTCACTCTAACTACAAAGATGTTAATGTCATAATTAAATTACTTTAAAAAAAAATTAACTAGAAGAAAGAGAAAAATAAATAAAAAATCAGTATACTTCTATACTATCATATAGTCCTTTCACATTTCACTCATCTTTTCATTGGAGCACAAGAAGAAAGAAAGAAAGAAAGAAAAAAAAAATGAAGAATACAAACTACTTTTCATTAATTCCAAACAACTTTTATTGATTTCAGAACTTCTTCTAATCTTTTCATAATTTCGAGACGACTTTTATTGTTTTCAAAATTTCTTCTAATCTTTTCACAATTTTTAAAACGCTTAAACTACAGCATTTCTCTTTACATTTTATAGAAATAACAATTCTTGATAATATTTCTGGGTGCATCATAATTATCATCTTGCTGATTTGGAGGATAGCCTTTTAACTTTTGGAAAGTGAGTTTGCTTTTTTATTTTATTTTATTAAAGGCATTAGAAGTGTGATTTATTTGGTGGAAAGAGAGTTATGAGTGGGTTTCCTTCTTATTGTTGGAGACTCTTGCAATGTAAGTACCGAGGAGAGGAGGTATTATTAGTGTCAATTAAGAGAAAATGACATATTTCACATTCATCAAGTCTCTCTCCTCTACTATATATGACTTCCAATTAAGCTCTTCGGAATTAGTTGCATTTTTTATTTTTTGTGCGTCCATAATTTGAGAAAAATGGGAAAAGCAGAATCACATCACAACGCTCTCACACGTACAAGTCTGTATGGAGCTCACTATGTCTAATTCGGAGACCAAAATTTGTGTGTAGCTTTAAAAAGTTTAAATTAATATAAGTAGCAAATGTAGAAATGCGTATTGAGGGTTGTGAAGTGTGAACTACACACCAGAATTCCTTCAAAGCAACCCATCAATGAACAATTTCAAACAGACTTGCTTGTTATGCCTACGTTGATTATCCTCTATTGACAAGCATCAATTGGTAATTTTTTTTCCTCAGGAAAATGTAACTTATGTGCACTTGGTTCTTTATTTATTGGGCTGAAGTTGGACTACCTTGCATTTTAAATTTTAATTACTTTCATGTATCTTTTAAATGAATCTTTTTTCAAGGTTCCTCTTTAAATTGTTCAGATATCAGAGCACATTGAAGATGCCACTGTCTACTTAGATGCAGGATGTACAGAGAGTTTCGAGTTTCTTGGGGCATACCCTCTGCTACTAGAAGTTGGAGCACATGCTGTTTGCAGCTTGGAAAACATGTCTTCTCTTGATATGGTGAGAGAGGTTTAATTGTGTGAATATTCACTATGTTGGCTGTCAGATGTGTTATTAACTTTTAATTGTATTTTATTTTATATTTATATTTTCCATGTTGAAGCTTTCCGAACAGAAAGAATGCATAACTGCATATAAGGAGTAGATGTTTGACAATTCTTTTGGAAATTGGAATTATAAAAGCAAGGGAGAATATTATTTAGTTAAATGTGGTTGTTTTTTTTATGCTGGATTGCATCTGAATAGGGACTGAGAGTAGGAACAGATCCTGCTTCCAGCCCCAATCCATGACACCTAGTTGGAACAGACAGCTGAGCATTTGTCTTCACACTGCCATACATAGCCACAGGTACATGGTTTGTTTGGTTCATCTGTCTCTTGAAGTGCCAGGCTATTCTATTGTTGCACAAAAAAAGAAAAAAAAAATGTACACCCTGTTTAGTCCCGCGTTGGAATTTTGAAAAAAAGAGTAAATTACACTGTTGTCCCTTGAACTAAACCATTTTGTATTTATTCTTTCCACTGCAATGTGTGTGAAATTTGGTTGACCTGTAGGTTCCATGTGTTACATGTCTGGGTCTATACAAATGGAGAATGTGTACGTCCTCAAAAATGAAGCAGGCATGTGGCAGTGGCTATTTGGCAAGAGTATGACTAGCATAATTCTTCTCAATATCGGTTCAAGTGATGGATTTGCTGGAATTACTGCTCCTTTAGCCAGAATTCTCCCAATTCGGATCATGCCAAATTTTGGGTTATTAGTTTCTTTTTTTGGTTCTAACTCTTGGTATTTGATCATGACTGTGAATTCATCTCGTATGTCACCAACTTGGTTTCTTTTTATGTTATTTGATTTGAATTATCTTATTTTTACTTATCAAAATAATTGAACTTTATTTTGTAGATTGATTTAGCAATGTTTGGTGGTGAACTATTGTGTCAGGTACAGCTAATTCATTGTCTATTTTTCTCTTGTTATGTTAAGAAATTATTTGAAATTCTTTTTTTCCTTATTTTACTGTTGTCGCTTGGGATATTTTTCTTTTCTGTCAATGCCTTAATTACCTTTTAGAATTACTTATGGTAATTGAAGAACCATTCTGATACAGTTTTTAGACAATTAAGCCATTGAATAAGCTAGCATGAACTCTTACCTTCTTTATCTGCCTTGCTTCTTTGTTTCTGTGTTTTTGTGGGTACATGTAAATGATCATAACCACAGACTTGGATGACTAAGATCTTATGACTTGATGGCTATAGTTGAGAGTTTTCCATGGTATTTGTCACATCCTCTCTAAGATACTTAACTGGTTTTAGAGAGAGATCCTCAGAAGAAGACAAATCCAAACTATAACCAAGACACATGATGGCCAAATTAGTTCTTAGTATTGTGACTCTTATTTAATTGCTGGTTTATGAACTTCGGCTTAGGTTAGGACACTTTTAAACTTCACTATTTCATCATAAAATGTTTGCACATTATAAATAGAACCTTGACTGTACTGTCATCTATTATCAGTTTCCATACTTGCTTTCACATTCTCGGGTTCACGTTAGCTGATATTACTTCTATACTGGTCAATATCTTCCAATGCAATGAGTACTTGTTAGTGGACCTTCCTGTGGGCCAGTCTTTATACCCAATCTAATAACCAAGAGTTGCATTCAATTAGTAGGTTTGAAGAGATTTTATTTTCCCATGATAAGTGGATTTTTTCCTTTAGCAGGAATCACTTATATAGTGGATACGTTTGATTTCTTATTGTAGGCTTTTTTTTATTGAGTTAAAGTTATTTGCTATTTTTTTTTTTTTGGTATGATGCTTCAGGTTGAATCCTCCAAATATTATTACAATAAGTAGGTTTACAATTCATTGATTTAAAGTTCATATATAAGGTATATATGTTGAATTTACCCTCCTATACTTTTATATTGTGTTTTCATGTTTCAGTATAATTTGAAAATCAAACCAAAAATCAAATTTGAACACTAGAAGTAAGTAGTGTTTTGTTCTTTCTAACACTTAAGCTTGAAAATATGTCATCGGACTCCAAAATCGTGAAACAGCCATGAGAAGGCCTGGAACACCTCGGGAGGGACCGATGTAAGTTGTGTAAACTTACGGAACTAGCACGAGACTCTTTGTTTGAAAACTATTTAGAAAAATGTACTTTTCCAACACTTAGGCTTGAAAATAGGCCTTTGGGGGCCAAAATCGTGCAACAGACACGAGACGGCCTGGGGAACACCTCAAACACCTCGGGATGGATCAATGTGAGCTGTGAAAACTTACGGAACTAGTGCGGGACTCCCAGTTTAAAAACTAAGTCCAAAAATGCACTTTTTCACACTTAAGCTTCAAAAATAGGCCTTCGGGGTTCCTCCATGGTTGACCAATAATAACCTTTTCTGAGGATCTTCCGGGCTAACATCACACCATTCATGTGTGCCCTGCACTCTCTTCCGTGGATAGCCTCCATAAAACACTTCGATTCCTCTTTCTCCACACACAACTTGTGCATTCTTAGATGACTTCTTTTATACAGATTACCCCCGCAGATGATAAGTTAGATGGCCAAATGCCGTATTCTCCATTTGTCCTTGGCATTTGCCCTAGCGGATACGTCTCCTTCTCTAGAAAATTCCAAATATCGTAATACCAGGAGTTTTTATCCTACACTTCATCAATTGTGGCAATAGTCTTGTAAGCCAGTGTGTATTTCTATTCGATAATAATTGGATGCATCTTTACTCTCAACGGGATGTCTACCATAGAAGATAGAGTTACCAAAGCATTAGTGAACCTGCTGTTCTCTCTAAGCAGATACGTAAATGTTCATTTTTCAAACCTCAAAAGTAGAATATCTAGGGCCTGATGGTAAACCTTCATCTTCTCTTCTTTGACTTTCCAGTCTCCGTTTGCTTGAGAAACAACCAAATTTGAGTCCCCAACAACATCCAACCTTTTTGCCCCTAGTTTTAAGGCAGCTTCTAGACCAGCAATACCTGCTTCATATTCCGCTATTGGACACTTTGAACAGGAATTTGAAGGCTAAGGGTATATAGGAATCATCAGGTGCTATCAACAACATGCCTATCCCATAACCGTATTGATTGGATACTCCGTCAAAGTACATCACCCAAGTTTCTTCTTCGACTTGTAGAATGTCTTCATTTAGGAATAGGTATTCCACTACTTTATCGCCCTCTACCAGGTGGTCGACCAAGAATTCTACTATAGCCCTTTTTTTAATTGACTTGCGTGTAACATATTTGAGATTAAATTCGAAGAGAATAAGCAGCCAGCGAGCTAGCCTACCTGTAAGCGCCGGTTTCTCAAAGAAATATTTGATGGGATCTAATCTCGAAACTAGGATTACAGAGTGAGCTAACAAGTAGTGCCTCAACTTCCTGGTTGCCCATACTAAGGCTAAGTAAGCTTTCTCTAAGGGAGTATTGCATGTCTCATAGTCTAGCATCTTCTTACTCAAGTAATAAATGGCATTCTCTATCTTATCCTTAGATTCTTGAGCTAACATGCACCCCATGGTCAAGTCCGTTACTAACAAATACAGAATTAGAAGCTTCCCCGGCTCTGGTGACGACAACACAGGCAGATTCTGTAGACACTGCTTGACCTGCTCAAAGGCAAACTGACATCGATCATCCTATCGGAATTTTTTTCCTTTCTTCAGGAGAGTGGTTCATAAGCCAAGGTTAATTTGGAGATAAATTGTCTTATGAATTACACTTTACCTAGAAAGCCTCACACCTCCTTTTTCAGTCCTTGGTGGTGGCATTTCTAGGATGGCCTTGACTTTGGAAGGATCTACCTTGATGCCTCTCTGTGTGATCAAGAAACCCAACATTTTCCCTGTTATTACGCCGAAAGTATACTTTTGTGGATTCAACCCAAGTTTGTATTCTCTGATCCGTTGGAAGAATTTCTTCAAAGCGGTGTGGTGGCCCTCTCTTTCCTTGGACTTGACAATCATGTCTATTCAGTGTGTTTGGTTTGAGTTTCTGAATTAAGTTATTTGAAAATTGAGTTTTTTAATTTTCGTATTCTTTTGTTTTTAGTGAATATTTTTTAAATTTTAAACATTTTTTTTACTTTTTTAGATGCACCTTAGTTAGATGTATCTAAAAAGTAAAAATTTTGTGAAAAAATATTTTAAAAAATTAATAAATACAAAAAAATATTAAAAAATGTACTGAATTCTTGTATTTTTTTTTTGTTGGTATTTTGTGAATTTTTAAAAGATTTTTTTTTACAATTTTTTTACTTTTTAGGTGTATTTATGTTAGGTGTGTCTAAAAAGTAAAAAAATTGCTTAAAATATTTAAAAAATTCAGTAAAAACAAAAAACACACAAAAAATAAGAAAGTAGAATTTTCTGAAAAGTGTTTTCTGAAAAATGAAAACAAGCAAGCTGATTAGTATTTTCTATACCTCAATGTGAGGGATTCACTTAATCAAGGATCTTCCTTTACCATTATTTTGCATCAAGGTCATGTCATGGAAGAACATTTGGAATAAAATGTTAGTTGTAGACTGAATAGAGAAGATGATGGACTCACAACAGAGATGATGGTAAACCGAAGGTGAAGAATCATTTTTTTTGCCACTGTTACACATAAATCATAGTCTCTTCATCGATTTGTGTAGCCACCTGTATTTTGTACTTTATTCACCAGTATTATACTGGCATTGATTATTCACAGATTTTTCTAAAACGGTGTGTCAATGTATATGAACTATTTGATGATTTTTTATATATTGCTTGATGATTTTTTGTATATTATTTGTTACTATACTTCTTGTTTGAAAAATCATTTTTTTGTTTCCATTAAACAATCGAAATAGTCAATTTTTTTTCTTTCAATTTTGCTTCGTGTTTTCATGTTGCAGTGTAAATGTTCACATTAGTATGAATTTAGTTTTTTTAAGACTAGTTGTATGTTAATTGTAAATTGTGAACATTCATATTATATTTTGGTATGAGTTTTTTTGAAAAAAATTCGAAAGTTAGTTGTATGTTTGTTGTTTTTATTACTACGTTTGTTAGATGAACAATCATTTTTGTTACCATTAAACAATCGAAATAGTTGATTTTCACTTTTTTCAATTTTGTTTTATATTTTTACGTTAAACATAAATGTTCATATTGGTATGAGTTTATTTTTTTTAAGGCTAGTTGAGTGTTAATTGTAAATTGTGAACAATGATATTGTATTTTGGTATGAGTTTTATGTTTTCGAAAATTAGTTGTATGTTTGTTATTTTTGTTACTATCCTTGTTGGTTAAACAATCATTTTTGTTACCATTGAACAATCGAAATAGTCGATTTTCACTTTTTTTCAATTTTGTTTTATGGTTTCACGCTGCAGTGTAAATGTTCACATTTGTGTGAGTTTATTTTTTTAAGACTAGTTGTATGTTAATTATAAACTATGAACATTCACATTGTATTTTGGTATTAGCTTTGTTTTTTCGAAGATTAGTTATATGTTTGTTGTTTATTGTGAACATTTACATTGTACTTTAGTATGTGTTTTGTTTTTTTGAAAGTTAGATGTATTGTTTGTTGTTTACTATGAATATTCACATTCTATTTTGATTTTCGTTTAGATTTTTTGTTGCGTTATTTTTAAAATTTTCACATTATAAAAAAGTTGAAAGTTCATAATTTGAGATTTTCTCCATGAAATGAAGAAGAGATTTTCTCCTTAGAATGAAGGAGAGATTTTCTCCATAAAATGAGGGACTATATTGTAATTTTTTACTGTACATTAGTTTTAAAATAGAAACATGTACAAAAAATTAGAAGGATGGCTTGGTAATATTACATTAAACAGGACCTAATGAAATACTAAAAAAGAAGATGAATTAGATAGAATAAAACACTTAGAAAGAGAATTTATCAAAAAATGACGCTATTGAATTTAATGATTAAAATATAATTTTTTCATCGATTTTACTTAATGAAAATAAACTGATAGTTTAGATTTAAAACAAATCAAAAAATTAAGATTTAAATTGACAAAATTTAAAACTCAAGATTTATTTTGTTACAAGGGTCAAATTCTAATTTTTTTTTATTGTAATTTTCTCTTATACTTTTTAATGTACGATAATCGGATGGGAGGAAAAAATTTGACATAAGTTTTTAAAAAAATTCACAAATAAAAAAATAAGTGAAAAAATGTGATACTTATAGGTCAATTCTGAACTAATCCTAACAACATAAAAACACAAGTGGAGAGCAAGGCCAGAGTAGTGAGTAGTAAGTGAGTAAAATTATTTCTATTCACCAATTCCTCTCAGTGAACACAGTTAATGAGCACATTCTTGGTATACACATCAAAAAAATAAAAATTCTCAGTATATAGCTCTTTATTTTAATAATACCATCTTATTCAATTTCAAAACCTTAATTTTTCTTTCATCCACAACCCCTTATTTGTTGCCATTGTCCCTACTTTCAGCTCTCCATTATCTCCACTCCCAACTCATCCCCTTCCATTCTATACCTCCATAGTCAACTTTGAAAGTGAGTGGTACACGACAGGAGGCTTGTAGGAGTGTATGGTTCATGGAGGAAGGTGGTCGTAGGTCGAGGGGGAAAGAAGCGACGAGAGGGGATGGTAGAGTAGAGAGATGGTGTTGGTGATGGAGGATGGTTGTGATGTTTTAGAATTAGGGTTTGTGTGGAAGAAGATAAGGACATTGTGGTATTTTCATTTTAGGACAAAATTATATGAAGAAAAAAAATTTGTGTGAACTGAGAAGAATTTCTATGTGAAAATAGAATTACTTGTGGTAAATCTACACGTATACCTTATGTATGTAAAATGAGGTTTTCAAATTGGGGATGATAGGTCTTTTTAGTTATTAGAAATGTAATAAAAATAAAAGAAATTTGGTCAAAGTTCCCTTAAAATAAAATTTTTATATATTAAGAACAAGCACAAAAAAAATTTCTTTCAAAAGTTCACCACACATCACTATTACCAAAATATTCTTAGCAAGTAATTTAATGTTTTAAATTTTGAAATGATATAACTTTTGATTTAGATATCGCTTTTTAATAAAATTAATATTTTTAGAATTCTCTCGTCGATATCTATCAAACAAGATCTATATTGATCATGAAATTATTTTTTTTAATAAAAAAAGTACTATTAAAATTAACGTCAACAGTAAAATTTTACTCTTTATTGTATCCCAGAGTAAAATTTTAATTTTTAAATAGTAAAATACTATCATCATCACTAAACGCCATAGTCACTATAACTGTTAATAAACAAGGGAGTTTTGGCCAAGAGAAACTTCCAATGTCATTTATAAATAGATTGTCACCAAACAAAACTCAAATCAAAATACAATTTTTACTGTGAATTAAAGTAAAACTTTACTACTGACATTAGTTTCAACAATAAAAATTTACTATTTTTTTTTATATAAATTTCATAGCCAATATGAATTTTGTTTGATAAATCTTGATGAGAGGATTCTAAAAATTCTAATTTTATTAAAAATAAATATATAAGTAAAAAATTACATCATTTTAAAATTTAAAATATAAAATTAGTTACTAAGGGTAAGATTGTCTATAAAAGATATAAACAAATTTATTCGTCCTTCATGAGGGAGGCCGCCTTCTCCCAGGGCTTACAAATTAAAAAAAGTTTAGACTATCCTTTCACTAAAAAGAGATCCAATGAGGGGGGTTTGGCCAAAAAAAACTCTATATTGGTATTTTATCATTTTTTTTTAAAATTTATTTTGTTTGGCTGGACTTGTGTGTGTTAATAAAATAATCTTATTTCAATTACGTAATGAAATTTGATAATGGGATATTATGTTGCATGTACTATAGGTATATCATACATGCATGTTATTTAAAGTAATCTTGTGTGTGCTCACCTCTTTCTTACCTCGCAGGTATTGACATGTGTCCACAGCCATGAGTATCGGACGGACTATTCTTTGTTGTTTGCTTTTGAGCATGTTAGCATAGATCTTTGGGTAATATGATATGTGCACCTTATTTATTTTGGACATACTTCATCGTAAACTATTTTATGTGTAACGCTTCAATTTTTTATGCCTAAATGATAATACGACCTTCGTGACTTTTAAAGGAAAATAGAAATAATTTTTCACACTTACATTACATGATACAGTTAATTCCTCAATGCGATTATACATTTAATCCAAAACCAAATAAATAAACAAATAGATATCCCCAAGAGTTTACAAGTTTCCAAAGCTTAGGCTCGGTTACACAAAACGGTTATTCAAACCCACATAGATACAACCCTTGGCTTACAAAACAGAGTCACGCAAAATGAGAGCATTGTACTCCCAACACGCATACATTAACGCCCCTAGTTGGGTAGGATCACCACATCTTTTCCTGTACAAAAATCCCGTAGGGTGAGCATAAAGCCCAGTAGGAAATTCTTAACACTCTGTATTATGGTGTGCTCTGGTGTTTTCCTATTCCCAACATACATCAAACCATGGAAAAACAAAACCCTAGATTGTTAGTGGCAGTCACTAATCACCATTGCAACTTTCAACTTTCAATTCTTTGTATTTGTTATTTTAATTGTTATCTACCCTAACAAACAAGTAATAATCAATTAGGGTTCTTTCTGTATACTGTTCCGCTAAACCCTAAGGCCATGTTTGTTTGGGCGGACTTGATTAAGTTGGATTAGCATTCCCATGACTAATAATCCTAGGACTACGAATCTCTTTAGATTTTGTATCATATCCTATGTTTGGATAGAGTTAGGATTAGAAGGAGAGATTAATAAAATATTATCCAATCCAATGTTTGTTTAAAGGGATTCGAATGGATAGGACATGACAGGACATGAGACATCCAATATATTGGCCATAATATCCCTATTATAATTAATGTAAAATTTTGCAATAGGATGTGTTATAATTTTTGAAAAGGAAATTTCCCTACTGTTGCTCTAGATCCATTTCGATTGATTTGAACAAAATTTAACCCTTGCTTTTTTTTTTTTTTAATAGAAAAACATAAAAAATCATTCAACTATAAAATTTATATACACACAAGCAACCATTAAAAAATATGCACTGCTATTTTAATCATCCAACCATTCATTGTCCAAATTCAAAGAAGTATTCATTTGAACAAAATTTAACCCCTTTTTTTAAGAAAAAACATCAAAAATTATTCAACTATAAAATTTATATATACACAAGCAACCATTAAAAACATGCACTATTATTTTAATTATCCAACTATTCACTGCCCAAATTCAAAAAGGCATTCATTTAAACGAACAGAAAAACATAAAAAATCATTCAACTATAAAATTGTAAAATTATAAATCTACCATTCATCATTTCAAAATACGCATTCCAAGTAGCATATTGCAACATGAAGTAGCAAAATATGAGTAGTTCAACAAAAAAAAGTAGCAGAAAGTTGGTCTTTACTACATGCATTAAAGTAATCAAAAAACTAAGTACGTAGAACGACATAAAACAGTCACGAGCCTGTCATGGAGCACTCCTACGTAGCAACCTCATCACTGACCTTAGTTTGTCATCATGTGTCAAGTTGAAGAACATGTCGAGCTTTTGAGCACTTTGTGATCAGTGGTGGCAAAAAATACCTCACCTAACTTGTTAGCAATCATGTACAACCCTTCCACCACATCATCATTACCTCTAGACCTCTTCTTGTTGTCATTCTTGTTAGGTGGTCGTTGACTTGATGAGCGGGAGCAATTTATTCCGTCGCTAATATGACTATTCATACCCATATGTTCAAGAAATGTGCCATCATCTGCAAGACCGTTGAACAACAATTATTCCTTAGCGTTTATAGCATCAACTGCATTAGCAGGCCCTTCAGCAAACTCCCCCATAGTTTGATCCTAACCAAATATGTGGATCCATGAGTTGAAATCCGGAAAACTTTTGTTTTGTAGATTTTTCGCATCGCTCTTCCTGTACAATTTGAAATCCGGAAAACTTTTGTTTTGTAGATTTTTCGCATCGCTCTTCCTGTACAATAACCAATTTCAATTAATATCTCCAACTTAAGATAAAAAAAAAATGAATAAAAATGAATTAAAAAGTTAACAACTTATACAATGTAACTTAAACCAAATACTATCATTTTCAACATCAACTTTTTTTTCGGTGTCGTTCCATCCAAAACCACTAGTATCAAGCATTCCAGCTACACAGTTGTAGTGCTTCTTCCATATCTTTATCTTTGATTCGATGTGGGGAGTGCCACGAAGGTTTGTCTCGGGTAGCATCTCCAACAATTTCTCCTCTAATTTCATAAGGTAGTTGGCCTTGAAGGCATTGTCCTGTTTCATTCTATTGTTGACAATGTGCATCAAGGCATTAATAAGACATTCCTCTTCTCATGGGCTCCACAATTGCCTTGGTTTTGACGGATCAACTTTCTCCTTTACTTTTTTACAAGAATTGGACACTTCACTATACATGCCTAGAAAAGAAGAAAAAAGAAAAGTGTGCATGTTAGTCTCCACTACGTGATTATCAACCTGTTAACATGCCAAAACAAGTCAATACATAAATGGATTTCAATAATAAAAATATCCCATACCCATACATACATGTAGCACATCCATGAGACATAAAAATCTCATCGCTTAAAAAATATGCAATCACCAACAAAAGCCATACAATTTTTGCAAAAAATGGTGCAACATCCACAAGCTAATACAAGTTCCAAGTACAAATCAAATGAAATTATATCATACTCGTGACAAGTAGTTTTACAAAATACTGAAACTATCCTTGCCGTGCCCCCCTACTAGCCAACCAATTTTTATATAGATGCATTGCAAGTGTATCCCACCACCCAGTCCACTCATTAGACGTCTCAACGGTGTCATCAAAATCATCTCCCAATTGAGGTTGATCTTCTATGTTATTATTTAGCCTTTCTTCTATGGGGTCAACAGGCATCTCCCGACAAATAAGGTTTTGTAACAAACAACATGCTGTGATGATATGGTTTTGAGTTCTAATGGGGTAGTATGACGCACAACGAAGTATGCATGTAACAAATCCATGAGACAAAAAAATATTGTCGCTTAAAAAATATGCAATCACCAACAAAAACCATACAATTTTTGGCGAAAAATGGTGCAACATCCACAAGCTAATACAAGTTCCAAGTACAAATCAAATGAAATTATATAATACTCGTAACAAGTAGTTTTACAAAATATTGGAACTATCCTTGCCGTGCCCCCCTACTAGCCAACCAATTGTTATATAGATGCATTGCAAGTGTATCCCACCACCCAGTCCACTCATTAGATGTCTCAACGGTGTCATCAAAATCATCTCCCAATTGAGGTTGATCTTCTATGTTATTATTTAGCCTCTCTTCTATGGGGTCAACAGGCATCTCCCGACAAATAAGGTTTTGTAACAAACAACATGCTGTGATGATATGGTTTTGAGTTCTAATGGGGTAGTATGACGCACAACGAAGTATTGCCCATCTTATTTTCAACAATCCAAAACCCCTTTCTATGACATTTCGGGTTGATGCATGTTTCATATTAAAAAATTCTTGATAATTAGTTGGAGTGGCCCCTTCTCTCCAAACAGACAAATGGTATCGTTGGTCCCAATAAGTTGCTAGGAATCCTTGTCCATTTGTATACCCCGCATTCACTAGGTAGTAGTAACCTATATGAGATGCTATACATTAGAATCCATTATTAAATAAAACTTAGTAATTCCATCAAGCAAAGTTAATTATTTATTAATTACCAGTTGGAATTCTTAAGCCATTGGGTCGATTAATAGCATCCCTCAAAACCCTAGAGTCTACAGCTGACCCTTCCCACTCCGGCAACACATTTATGAAGTTTATGTCTTGGAAGCAAACTCTTAGAACATTGGTAGCAATCTCCTCCTTCCGTGTTCTATACCGTGCTTGGTAAACCACTGATACCTGAACTTTAATATAGGTTCCATCCATTCCACATCGGATTAGTGCATACTTGTGTTATAGGATTTGGTGTCTTAAGCAAGTGGCCGTCAAGGCGCAATACAGCTTTTAGGACATTTAGGACATCATTGAAATGTCGACTTATAGTCTCTCCGGACCTAAAGAAATTGAACTTCAGTTTTCGTATTTTCAGGTCATTTGCAGAGGAACAAGGCCATCTTCTAACATTTGTTGAATGCCTCAACCCACCTATTGTACGAACCATATGGCATAATGTGATGTCTCGGGTTCTAGACTTGACTGATATTGTGTAGTCAGATGGTTTGTTTTACTTTCGGCATTTTGATTATCATATTGAGTCATGGAGATTTTAATTTCACCCTTAACTTCTTTTAATGTTTCCGGGTTAAAATTTTGAGTTGTGGGCGTTAGAACTTGTATCGGGGTGTGGAATCAAATTTTTGGCTTTGGCTGGCAAAACCGCTCGTGCAGATTTGGTAAAACTGCTCGTACAGAATCACTTGAGGAATTTGGGAAATTCTAGGCAGAAAACCACTCGTGCAGATTTGGTTGGAATTCTGGGTTGTTCTCTGTCTCAAACCGCTCGTTAAGTGCATGTTAAATCCACTCATGCGGATTTGGGATTCTGCACGTACGGAATTTGAACCTACTAAGCATGAACCGCTCGTGGGGATTTCAATGCATCTGTCTCGAATTTTGTGCTCTCTTCCTCAAATCTATTGCAAAAAACGTGTTTGGTACACTTTTTCATCTCTATCTATATTCATAGTTTCTCTTCCTTCTCTCTACAAACCCACCCAAACTCAAACTTCTCTCTAAGATCTTGCTAAGATTATCAAGAATTTGAGAGGGCTTTTTACATCAAATCGAAGAGGGCGATGAAGGCTATGTTTTCACCAATCAAATCAAGATTTCACCAACACTCAATTTTAGGGTTCTTCTCTCCTTCTCCTGCCAAGCTTGTGGTAGGGAATTTCTTTGAGTAATATATATATTTTTACAAGTCTATGCTTATTTGAAGCATTTCCCTTTTATTTGAATTGTGATTTTGGGTTTATGAACTCTAAATGATTTTTAAAGTGTGTTTTCTCTATATTTCCCAAACTTTGAGAGTATGAGCTATGTTGTTATGTGTGTGTGTTGTTTGGAATGGATCCTTTCAAAACATGGCAAAAAATCTAGTTTTGGTGAAACCCTAGAAATGGGGGATTTTGAGAAAAATGTTGAGATATCATTAGATTCATGTTTGATAAAGTATTTTGGTGAATAAATGATGGAGGATTGTTACATTTGTATCTAACGAGGGATTTCTTGGAAAGATGAGAAATGTTTGATTTGGAAGTTTGATGTATAATATGTTATTGATTTGTGTTGAAATGACTAAGTTGAAAATGTTGATTAACATGTGGAGAATGCCTGTAATATGGTATTGTTAATTACTTCTCGAAAGATTCATTATGAAATTATATTGAGAAGAGGTGAAAATTTTGATCACAATAGAAGATTGTGTGGTGGAATTGAAATTGGAATTATTCAAATGCATTGTTACATGTTGCATTGCCATTCTATTTCATTTTGTTATCATTGGTTTTGAATTGCATTTGAAAACTATTACTTTGAGAATGGAATTGTTTTTTGAAACAAGATCGTTTTGATTTGTTTTGGGATAAATTCGTTGGTAAGTCCGGATAGGGGGTGTAGTTTGGTATTGGTTAAGTTGGCCTGAATGTCCATGATGAAAGACCAAAAACACTCACAGAGGAGGTATCATGTGCCTTCTGGTGTGAGACCGGTAAAGTGGCGATTGGTAGTGCTTGATATGCCTACTTGCAAAAACCAACTTAGGGATTACCTGAGTCGTATTTACTACCCTTGAAATTATATTGAAATTGTTGGATTAATATGTTTTGAAATTTACATTGTGCACAAGATTTTTAAAAGATGAGAAAAATATTTTGAACATGACATGGCATATGCATTCATCTCTGGAGATTGTATAAAATGTATATACTTTATTAAGATCTTTCTACTGGGCTTTGTGCTCACCCTAGTGGATTTTTGTATAGGAAAGGATGTAGTGATACCCGCCAAATTAAAGGCATGGAGTGTATTTTGAGGGCATATGGCTCTTTTCTTTTTGTTGTTAGTTTTGACAAGCCAAAGACTTTACGTGTATGGGTTGTAGCCCATTAGGGCACTAATTGTGTTTGACTTGTAATATCACATGCTATAGATTCATATTCTAGGAAATGTTGAATGTATTATTGCATGTGGAATAATTTTGTTAATCTCTTGGTTATAATGAATACAAATTTCAGAGATTGTGATGATAATGTTAATGATGAGACGTATTTCATACACAAATATGCAATGGAATGCTATGAGTCGGGCACAAGATTATATTGTTGGAGTATGTTTGGGTTTTCCCTATATTAATTATTTGGGCCATTACATTACACATTACGTCATAAAACAATGCCTATCCATATGATGTTATTCAATGCATGTAATGTCACTTTCTCTCACTAGCCGGTTAACGTGGTCCATCTGTTCTTGCAATCGATTGGGCCCTCTAGTAATGGTATGAGGATACTTGTGAATGTACCTCTTCAAGACAATTTCTATGGCAATATATGCTACAACGCATAAGGTGTACAATTCTTGCATTACAACTTGCAACACTACATATAGCTCAAGCTCCTTATTACTCTCATCTCCAAAACCATGAAAATTGTAATCCATCTATGCAAATAGTGATGCGCATCAATATATTAGAGTACAAGAAAACTTCATAATTCTAAAAAAATTAACAAAACAAAAAAAAATAATAATGAAGAAGACCAAATTTACATCATCACTTGCTTCACTTTCACCAAATTTATCTAACCCTTAAAACAACTCGTCTGAGAAAACTTTCAACCGAACATAGTCTCTTGTTAAACCAAATTTAAAACAATTCATGACTAAGAGATTTAAACAATGATGAATCATGCTAAACCTGCTGTTAGACCCAAATTAAAACAACAATACCCACTTCCTCCTATATCAAAAACAAACTGAGGTTAAAAAAACAATGATGAATCAGGTTAATGAGCAGAGAAATTACTAAGTATTGGCTATTACACCTTCTCTTAGACACAAATTCAGACAATAACCAATCCATTCTACACCAAAAAATGGGAGGCAATACCCATAAAACAGGACATGATTTGAATTTCAACTCTTTTGTATCCAAAATTGAATGATCAACAATAGAGGTAAAACCACAGAGTGAATCTGCAAAGGAAAGAGCAGTACCGTTTTGGAGGAGTTGGTGAGATTGGAGTTTGTTTGGCAAAAACTTATTTGACATCTGCGAGTTCTGTTATCAATCCAATGGGAAAAGGGGTTGCCCAGTTTCTACATTAAAAAAGAACACCATTTATATCAAATTACAACCTATTTTCTTGTTGATTTTTTTCTCATAGACTCCATTTAGCTCTATGACCATTCCATGACAGCTTAGCATATAGTATTCGTATCTCTTCTTCTCTTCAGCTAATTACAGGAAAAGCCATGACTGCACACCTTAAATTCATTTTTTTTCCCTTTTGTTCATCTTTAGTAAATAGCTACTAATAAATTTTCTTAGCCTTTTTTCTTCAAACATCTAATTATCTAGAAGAATGCTTTCCCATGATGCTTGGGGGATATCAATAATGTATCTTCTCATAACTTCATGAAAAATATATTAGTTTGCAGCTTCAAGGAATTTTTCTGGGAATTTTTTTTGACGAAAAATGTTCTAGATAACAAACCTTGGAAAAATAATACTATCATTTTAGTTGACAACACAAAAGGAGCTGAAGGCACATAAAAATCTTTAACAACCCCAAGCCATAAAACAGCCCTTCAATTGAAACGATCAACTTATATATATATATATATGTATATGAACAAGTTCAAAGCTATGTAAATCCTTACCAACTGTACAGTTGATCAACTACCTGATTGTATCTATATTTGTATAATTAATTTCCAAACCTTCAAAACCCCTAATCAAATTCCTCTGCAAAATCAAACTTCTTCAAATATATATATATACAGCCACACAAACACACACATATAGGAAACTCAGATGTGTCTTCAGCTTCAAATGATGATCAAATTTCACTACAAACCCAAAAAACTGTGATCATTTAAATAGCTTTGAACTGATCAGGTGAATCGCAGAAGACTCAAGAACAAATTTAGTGAATCCATCAAAACAAAATTAAAAATCTAACTTTAGCAATTAAAAATCAAAACAAAACTTTTGCTAAACATCGAACAATGCTTCAACACATACAAACCTAACAATATGACCCCACAATCAACCAATCTGAGATTTCAATGTGACAGTGAAAACCTTATAACCCTAGATATGGATCTATGAAGACGAAGAGAGAGAAAGAGCAATAACTATAACAACACCAATGTAAAACAAAGATTCATAGCAAATCAAACCATGTAATGGCACTGTAAATCAACCGAATATCAATGGAAAAAGAAATTTACTCATTGAAATTTGTTGAGATCAGCGAATCATGGTACAAAAACGATGAATGATTGCTTCTGATCAGCAAATGGTGGATCCAAATCGATAAGCAGTTGCTCCAGATCTCTGAATTGTGGCTCCACATGGCTCAAGATCGGCAACGAACTTTGGAGACTCTCATCTCATCACAGCAATGTCGAAGAAGAGTGAGGGTTGTGGAATAAAATAATCGACAAATATTGATATATAGTCAGGGTTAATTTGGTACTTTAATGAGTTAGTCTAGACTTTGGCTTAGTTTTCCAATTTATATCCCACCCCGCTCCGTGGGATTGAACAGCTCATCATCATATGTGAGATATTATATCCAGATGGAGTGTTAGTCCGCACATGTCCGCCCAAACAAACATGGCCTAATTGGGTTGTTCTGGTCTAATTTCGTTTAGCATTAGGTTTTTCGAGAAATTTGTTTCCGGACTATACACAATACGCATTTGAGATTTTAGAGAACGGAACGAATACCACATCCAATACCGAAGACTGTGGATGAGGTGTACATCGATTTCATAGGCAGAAGAGCTGGCTTGATCAAGGCTCTCACCACTGGTTCCTATTACTTCTTATTCTTCGCTTCCCTAATTGTATATATATCGATACATATATTTTCATACATATGTCTAATAATTACTTGCTTTGGTTGATTGTTATATGCAGAAGTAGCCAAGTTTTTTTAGCTATGTGATCCTGGTGAGTTTTTTTTTTCCCCTTTATATTTTTAAATATGTGAAATTCTATAATTCAAACCCCTTTTAGGGCCCATATGCCACAATTAGTGTTTTAAAAGGCTCTAGGCACACCGAGGCAATAAGGTCTCCTATAGCCTACACGCAAGGCGCGAGGTGAAGCATGCGCCTCACCAAAGCGAAGCTCAAGTAGTAGAAGAAAAGCAAAATTATAAAATAGGCAAAATTTTCAACATAACAAATATATATAATTTAAAAAATCATAACCATTTTTGATAATCTCTAAACATAACATTCAATCTTCTAAAAATTAGAAACATAATATCCAACAAAAGATATAAAACATAACATTCGATCTTTTATCACTTTCTGCTCTCTTTTGACCACATTTGGTCATTTTATATTGAAGAGTTTTGAATCCTTGTGGGTGTGCCCACAAAAAAACGCACTTGATCAACAATTGGAGTAGAAAAATAGATAAAGCCCATGAAGCCCACGCCTTGCGCCTCGAAAAAACCCCTCACCTCAGCGCCTAAGCTGCGCCTTGCGTATTGTGCCTCGCCTCGACCTGTTCGAAGCACAAGGCTGCGCCCAAGGTTCTGAAAAGCGGTTGCGATAGCCGTAACGGTGGTGGTAGCACAGTTGTTGTTGCGGGGTGTAAAGGCCGTAGCATAACGGTTACGGTAACTGGAACCGTGAATTTTTTTTATTTTTTGCACAATTGAAAAAAACCTTACCGATAAGCATATTTTTTTTCCATAATCATATTTATTAGGTTTTAAAATAAATATTGATCAATTTTTGTAATTTTTTAAGGATGATCTGATATATTTCATATTTTTAAATCACTATAAACTGAGTTTTTTACATTTTATTTTAATAATTAATGACTTTATATGTCATAATTCTATATTACGCTTGTGGCAATTTATTTATTTTTATTGAATTTAGATATATAAAATTGTTTTTTTAATTATTATACTTGTGGAAGTATATGCAAATTTTAACTTGAATAGTTTTAAAAAATAAATTATAAAGAAATTTTTTTTTGGGCGGGGGGGGGGGGGGTTGGATCACTTGAATATTCATTCTCTTTTTAGATAACTTGTAAATAAAAATAAAATAAACTAATCAAAAAAGATTGACACGTATAAAATATGTATTAATATATAATTATAGGTGTTATGCTTTTTAGATACTTTACAAAAAAAATCAATCACTAACTATTATATATAAGATAAACAATGACAAAGTAAGAGAATAAATAAGAGCCTAAATATATATATATATTTATATATATTAATCAAGCCAAATATTCATCTTCCCTCTTCTCTCTCTATCTGTCTTTCCCAATCTTTAGTTTTTTTTTTTTTTTCCGAAAGAAAGAGTTTGGAACCGTTACGTAACAATGTGTAACAGATTGTTACGGTCGTTACGGCACCGTTACGACTGCTATGGCAGCCGCTATGGCCAACACACTTGTGAATCTCAATCACATCGCAAAAGTGGCTGTAACGGGTAACGGTAACCACCACAACCGTTACATAACGGCGTTACGTAATAGTTGTGGCCGCTTTTTAAAATCTTGGTTGCGCCTCATTGCGCTTCGCGCTTAGCGCGTGCCTTTTAAAACACTGGCCACAATTATGATGTTTGTGGTATTGGGTTAGGACTTATTGTCATGTTAGTTATGAATTGATTATGACTTACTGTTTTTGTGTTAATTATGACCCATTGTAATGTTGGTTATGACTTATCGTGGTTATTATTTTGGTTATTATCAAAAAAGCCTTTGATTATATCTTAGGTGGTGCTTGGTTATTATGACTCGTTATTCTTTTTTAAGTTATGACTGAAAAAAATTTAGTTATAATTTATAAACACGACAAATGTCAGTAGAATGACCCGATATGATATAGCCATTACTGAGTAATATGTGTGATCTTTTGGTAGATAAACTCAAGTGCCTATTAATTATGTTATTTTGGGGGCCAAAGAAAGTGAAATTGGTTGTTTATGAGGCAGTTTCTGGACAGAATTTTTTGTGAAGTTTGTTTGTGTGCATTATTTTAATTATTATATGTGTTTGTTCCTTTCCATGCATTGCTTGGTAGAATATTTTTGAAGCACTTTATTTAGGTCCCTGTTTGAGGGGGTGGTTTTGTATTCTTTCGGCATCTCCTTGATGCTTTCTTAATAAAACTTTATTTATCAAAAAAAAAATTTTTTTTTGAAGCACTTTAACCAGAATACCTGATCAATGCTTCATAGCTGCAACTTAATAATATGAGCATGAAATGTGTCCTCCACAAACATGGGGTTAATTTCACTTTTATCCCCTAAATGATTGTCAATTATTATTATTATTATTATTTTCCATATCTAAACTATCAATTTCATCTCGTTAGTTTCTGATTTCAGTTCATATGGTTCAATTGGAGATAGTCCGACCAAATCAATAATGGTGAAAACCTGACATAATTGTCAAAAGGAAATTTTACTATTTAGACACCAAACACTCGTCTTCTTATTCACACTATATTAGACAACTTAAACAACCAAACACCATATTATTCTCCAACTGTCATTTCAAATTAGTGAATAACAAAGAATGAGTGTGGTTGTATGGTTTAAGTTGTACAAATTTTAAAATAATCTTTTTGCTGATCAAATTAGGCTGTAAAGGTTACTGATTTGTCCAACTGTCTACAATTGGACTACATTAGCTGGCATTAGAAATTTTAGGGACTAAATAGATGAAATTAATTGTTTAAGGTTGAAAGAGAAAAAATGGCGATAATTTAGTGGATAAAAGTTAAACTAACCCTAATTTGACATATTGTTGGATGTTAATTTCAAACACCAGCATTTGTCTTTATTTAGGATGGTGTTATCTTATAATTATTGAGTGGAGTGAGTGGTTTTTCTGTTTGAATGTTTGATCTGTTTTCTAATGTGACATTTGTTACTGTCATTTACATTTTCAGTTGGTTTCCCCACAAAAAAGGCATGCTCACTGTTATTGTAGTGTGCATTAGTTATTCTTAAAGTACATGACTTCGCTTTAAATTTGGTCCACAATGTTGTAAGCTCAATGACAATCTGTGATTATTCTTACCAAAAAGCAAAACTTTAGGAATTGTAAAAACTAACTTCATGGACATTTGTAACTATAAAATTAAATCACATGCATGGCTTCTTGCACTGGCTTTTGCTAGCTGTAATTGTGTACAGTGTGGTGAATGGCATTACTGGAAGGATTATGCATATGACCCATGAGGTTTTGATTGTTTTTAGTATGGGAAAGTTTGAAGTATATTACTAGTATGACAAATAGCACGCTTTTTTGTACTCTGCATCTTTAATAAATGCATTATAATTTCTAACGTTTTCAGTTCCCAGGCTAATGATTGGAAGTTTATGATTCTTTGGCTGGTATAATCTAGTCAAATATTGTGTCTTGATGCTTGTGATGAGTACAAGTGGAGTAGAGAGCCAGGATGAGTGTGAGTGACAAAATGTACAATTCCTGAGGCCTAGACTGTAGAAGGCCAGGCCACCTACGCAACTGGAGCGTATTCATAATTTCATTGATAAATGACTGTCTTTACCATTATTAACAAATTTGTGAATAAATAGTGTTTCAAGCACTACCAATTAATCCCAGAATAGAAATTTTGCAAGTATCAAACTCATTGTTATTTCACCTAGTCATTTGTTTTTATTGTGTATTTTGCTTCTAATGCTTTCGCCACAGAATTTCATAAAATCTATTCCCTGAAGCAGTACTAGTTTAATGTTCTGAGTTGTTGAAGCTAATGGGATAGGTTTGGATTCTGATCCTATACTGCCATATGGTTGTTAGTACCTTGTACTATATCATTTGTGTTATCCTTAAACTTCTTATCGATTGAGTTGTTACATATTTATAGGATTAACACCATAACTTTGAGTCTATGACTGTCATTTACTTCGGGTGCTTAAGCTCTATATATTAAATTTCATTTTCTTTTTTGGTTGTGCTCACTGTTGAACATACCTCAAAATCATGTTGGAAGAATGAAAAGTCACCTGAACTTTACTGTCTCAATTTACACATTGCTTGTGTTTTAAAATTTTAAAAATGATTTCCTTATTTCTGGAGAATGTTTCATTACTTTGAGAGCAACTTAAAGCAGCCGATTGGTCAATGTTTCTTATTTTCTTGATAAGGAACAAAAGATTTCTTAACAATCACTTTCCATATAATAGTCCATAATTGCTGGTTATGTATTACATGGTTACTATATTTACATTATTGTTTATCTTTAAAGAGAATATGTTGGTGGGTGTGATTCCAATTATATGGAGAATAAATTTTTATTCAGAGTCATGTTCATGTTGTTCTTGCAGATAAGGAGAATTTGTGTTTTACATGGACTTCCGCATGAGACATGGGAAGTCAACCTGCTTGTTGAGGAGTGCCTCCTGAGCT